ATTTCCTGGCCACTGGTGCCGAGAGTGTTGACTGTGGAGCCAAGCAAACTAAAGCTGTGAACAATCTCAATCTTTTCACCATCTTTCCTGATGCTACCAATTGGCCCAGTGGTGAGAATCTTTGTCTTCTTGACATTGTGCCAATATTTACACTTCAAATTAAAATGGACCCTCCCCCCCCCACCCCTTATGGGTCTGAAATTTTGACAGTGTGAGTGGGTATAGGGGAACTGCTGATACTGGGGGTCAGGGCTTGGCATCTGCCTGGAGAGGGAGCAGTGTGGCAGCTGGCTGGTCAGAACAGAGAGGTGATGGCTGCGCTCCTCTGAGCATCTCTCCAGGCAGGCTGGATCCTGGGTCTGCTTGAAAGTGTGACTCTCAGCTTCTCCACACCCAAAGCCTTTGGGCCCAAAATGGCTGCAGAGCAGGGGTGGTGACAGCAGGGCTTGCCCTCATGCTCAGTGAGGCCCCCAAAGGTCAGCGTCTTTCCGCATTTCTCACACTTGAGGCAGGGCCGGTGCCAGTCCTTGCCCAGGGATGTCACCCGCTCGGTGAAATACACCTCCTTGTCGCACTTCGCACACTTGGGCATGGCTGTGCTCATCGAGGCTGCAGGCACAGGGACTGGACAGCGCAGGGTGCCTAAAATGGACCATTTTATAACCAACGCAAAGTAGCCAGGAGGGAGGAAGGGAGGAGGAATGTGGCTTATTGCTCAGTGTCCCACTGAGTTTCTCTTCAGGCTGACGGGGAAATTTGAAAATGCTAAGTGCCAGTGGCTCTACAGCATGATGATGAAATTAATGTCACTGATTCATATGTAAAAAAAATTTTGATATGGAAAATTTTATATTATTAAAGATAACTATTATATTGACTGAGAATATATTGATTGAGTATGGACTGAGGCTCAATGTCAAGAAGACAAAGATTCTCACCACTGGACCAAATGGAAGCATCAGGATGGATGGCGAAGAGATTGAGATTGTTCACAGCTTCAGTTTGCTTATCTTGGCACCACACTCTTGGCACCAGTAGCCAGAAAATAAAAAAATGTATTGCAATGGGAAAGTCTGCT